CCATGATAGTGATTCAGATGTTTCGACTTCCTCGAACGTCACCAAAATTTTTCATTTTTAAAATTTAAGTAGGTTCTAAAAACAATTTTCTCTATGACCTCTGAATGAAAGCAATGTTTTCTTAGCGTTCACACTTCAGAATATGCCACTGCGATAGAATCAAGTGCGAATTAATAATGCGTGCATCTGTACTTAAATCTAAATATAAATCAAAACAGCTGACACCCAATTTTAACGGAGTAACTATAGCAGGTGTTTGTACTACGAATTACTTCCAAAATACCTATGAATAAGATAACTTGAAAAATATAACTGTTGGAGATTCTATTTTGGAATTGGACAAAAGTGATAGGTGATCAAACAGAACTAAATCTTATGGAAAATTGAAAATGTACACTGTTTAAAGATTGGAGTATATGTATCACTTAGCATAACAATTTGAAAAACCTAAAAAAAACCCATTCCTCACTTCTTTTGAGACCATTCACAACTTTGTCTTTTACATAACCAGGCAGCTATTACTTCCACAGTCACTTCCACTATTTTTCATCTCTCTCTATCTTTTGCTAGAGACCTGATCCTTTTTTTCTGAAATTGACCATCGCTTTGAAAGTCGAAGATCGAGAATTAAGAGTATCTATAGACTAGCGCTATATTCTCCACTACCTACCCTAATACTTTGACATACTTGATCCCTATTCGTATTGATGGTACCTGTGTTTTTAAATGAGGTTGAGAACTACCTAATATCTCCTCAATATCATGGAGAAAGAAAGAAAAAAAAAAAAAAAAAAACATTTTCGTCTCAAAAACAGGCAGGGTAGGTAAAATGACGTCACTTAATTTTTTCTATGCTTCACACCTACCGGTGTGAGACAACCTCCACCCGCTTTGAAACGGTTATAGGACTTTTGGTCCAATTTTTTTTGTCCATAAATTTTTTCGTCCAATTTATTTTGTCCACGACTTTTTGTCCTTGAAATCTGGTCCAAGTTAAATTCGTCCTGGTAAGTAGTTAGTCCTACGCATTTGTTCGTCCAGTGGTATTAGGTCACATTTCTGTGATCCAGTAAGGTAAAAAAGTTATGTCCAAAACTCACGTCCAATGAGGCCG